TAAAATCATTTCTTCTTTTGTGAACTTTTTTGGTTTTTTGGGTATCAAAAAGATCATTTTTTTAGTCTCAGCAGTGATGAATTTAGGCCTAAATTCTTGATCTTTTTGTGTTTTATTTAATTCTAGAGAATATTTTCTTTGTGGGGTTTTATTTAAAGTAAATTCTTGATTTTTGGGTATCAAAAAGATCAGTTTTTTAATGTCAACAATGAAAAATTCAGGTCAATTTTTCACAATTGGACTAGTAACAGCTTGGTATTCATCAAATATTGGGGTTTTATTACTGAACAAATATTTGTTAAGCAATTATGGGTTTAAATATCCAATCTTTTTAACTATGTGTCATATGACTGCTTGTTCTTTACTAAGTTATATAGCAATTGCTTGGATGAAAATGGTCCCAATGCAAACTATAAGATCTAGAGTTCAATTCTTGAAAATCTCAGCTTTGAGTCTTGTTTTTTGTACTTCTGTTGTTAGTGGAAATATTTCACTTAGGTATTTGCCTGTATCATTTAATCAAGCTATTGGTGCTACTACACCTTTTTTTACTGCTATCTTTGCTTACTTGATGACACTGAAAAGGGAGGCTTGGTTGACTTATATCACTCTAATTCCCGTTGTCACCGGCGTTATCATTGCCAGTGGGGTATGCCCTTTGTATTTTTTGTTAAAATTGTAGTTGAATTGTGGTACTATGTGTAATGATATTGGTCTGTTTTGGTTGGTTTTTTGATATTAGACTGTAAATTCGTGCTCTTTTTAGCGTAATCGCCTGAAATCATAGTGGTGATTCAGAATTTCAGATGCGAACCAGGTCCTTAGATCATCAAGTTAGATTGTATATTCAATACTCAATAGCAGCATAATAATTAGGTTCTGCCAAAAGAAATAACTTCTGAGCTATAGTTATGAAAAGGACTGCATTGATATTGGCTAAATTGTGTTGGCATTATAGTTTTAGTAGTGTAATGTTGTGGAAGAGAATCCGTGTAGTGGCTACTTAAGAAAATGACATGGTATTCATTGCAATTCGTTTTCTTTATCGCAGTTTGTTTTTCTTACGAGTAGAAATTGTTTGTGTTTCTTTCTTTTTTCTTTGTGTGTGTGTGGGGGTGGGGGTGGGGGATTTGGGAATGTAAAGAGGGGAATCGCCATCTTAGCTATGAAGATATTGTCCATGAAGCTGTCCTTGATATTTCACGATCAAAGGTGTAATGCTCTTTATAGAAGCAGTCCATATACATTGTATAACCGTGATATGGTCATATAAGCTGTGTTATGATAATGAATTTGCTAAAAGAGAAGTGTTTTAGCATTTATTTCCTAGTTAGCGTGATGGTTTTGGTCAACTTGTGATTAAGAACAAGTTCTTCAGATTATATTTTTAATAGTAGCACAATGTTGAGGGCGTGAAAGAAATATCTTCTGAGCTAGGCTTACGAAAAGGACTGCATTGATATATGACCTAATTGTATTAGCAGTTTCATGTTAGTTGTGTAATACTGTCGGAGAAATCAATTTGTGTCTAAATCCTTTGTTACGTTCTCAGGGTGAACCAAGTTTTCATCTGTTTGGATTCATAATATGCGTCGGTGCAACAGCTGCAAGAGCACTCAAATCAGTGCTTCAGGGGATTTTGCTGTCTTCTGAAGGGTAATTATTACATAGATTTATTGGTTTTACACGAGCAAATCTGTAGTCAAGTTTTGTGCTTTTTGATGTGAACATTTTGGGGTGTAGGATATGAATGCTGAAATATTTTCTTTTGAATCAAGGGAGAAGCTGAATTCCATGAACCTTCTACTCTATATGGCTCCTATAGCGGTTGTATTTCTATTACCGGCGACCCTTATGATGGAAGAAAACGTAGTTGGCATCACATTGGCACTTGCAAGAGATGATAGTAGAATCATCTGGCTTTTGCTATTCAATTCTGCCCTTGCCTATTTTGTAAATCTGACCAACTTTCTGGTGACAAAACACACCAGTGCTCTAACACTTCAGGTACTCTTCTTCAATCACTGCTCACTTCCTTTTCATATGATTAATCTTTAGTATTGTCAGATAAGGTTGATTTATGCTCACTTTCTTCGTCCAAACAAAAAAAGATAAGAAATTACGATATGATCTTCTCTCTATGGTGTGAAAACATACGTCTTTAAATCTCAAGATAATCCACAAATTATGCATGGACCTACTTATACTTGTTTGAAAACTTCTGTTTCCTTGCTTCTCTTTTACTTAGTTTGATCATTTCATTTCCTGGGAGTTCATTGTCTTCCTTGCTACTTGGTAGTATATACCGTCTTCTTGGAGCTTCAATTGTTTCATCTATGATATCTGTCTGATGTTTGGTTTTACTATCAATTTGCTATTCAAACATTTTGGAATCTTTGTATATGCTGTTTTTCAATTGATTGCTCCAGACTTATAGTACTAGGATTTTGTGTGCAAATGAATGAACTTGCATTTCCTCCCCTTATTCATCATAGATACCGCGAAGTAAGGTATCAGGTAGATGAATCAAATACTTGGAAAAATTACACAAGAACGCGAAAATAATAGAGATTATGGGGGTGTTGCAAGGCACCTACTTGTAGTTCGGAGAGGATTAGAAGTACTCAAGCTTAGCCCTATATAGGGAATTTTCTCTTCCAGCGACAAACCTGTTAAGGAATGGAGATAACTTCTCATTTCACAATGCTCCTATGTTTACTAAAAAGGGAAAAAACAGAGTTGCATTTCAAGACTCATCCTCTTAGAAATGGCTGGGGATTTATCACATAAGACCAACGAGGAAGAGTTCACTTAGGTTATTTTACTGGATGTTTTAGGTCACAGGTTCGAGCCTTGCACCAAGTGGACTAACTCTGTATTTAAGTGGAGAATTGTAGGGGGGGGGGGGGGGTCATCCCCGAGTTTTGAAGGCTGCGGTTGGCCCAAAGGGTCGGCTCAGCTCCAGATGGATTTCTCGGTCATAAAAGAAAATGTTACATTTTGGAAATTAAGAACTTTTTTAATTTGAAAAGAGGTGTCGGGTAATTCTGATGGAGCAGATAGGAAATTGAGTAGATTAAAATTGGGATGAGAGAGGGTAAATCCTAGAATGGTCTACCCTACTTATGTTTGTTCCCTTGAATTTTTGTGGTTTCGTAATTTCTCTGCATTGGGTTTTGCTGTTCATTGTTATTACGTTATTCTTTTTGGTTGAGGAGGAATGTGCCTTGTATTGATCTCTTCTATAGATTCTCTGTCCTTATGACAAAATTGCTTGTTTTCATAGGTCCTGGGAAATGCAAAAGGAGCGGTAGCCGTTGTCATCTCAATCTTAATATTCAGAAATCCGGTGTCAGTTACCGGGATGCTCGGCTATGCACTGACAGTTTTTGGGGTCATACTCTATAGTGAAGCGAAGAAACGTAGTAAATGAACATTGAAAAATCATCAACTTGCAACTTCTGACATTAATTGCGTGTTGAAGAAATAGTTCTACTGTCATGAGGCAAGTCGGATCATGCTCTTGCAATTGGTGTCATGGATTTTTTCCTCGAATTTGTATCTTTTTTCCCGGAAACCTGGGAAACAGACTTCCATCTGTATCAGCCAAGAGATAAAATAGGCTGAATAGAAAGTCTTAAGAAGTTCTTGATTTATCTATCCATCCATTCCTGGCATGGATAGTATAGATATGTTTTTTTTTCTTTTCTTTTTTTCAGGAAGATTGTAAAATTGGGACTACACAATGTGTTACCTATAGTTGTCAAATTGATTTATTAATGAGAGGATCTCAAAATTAGAGATCTGCAAATGGCTTCTTTTATACAAAGTGATTTCTTTCTATCTACTTAAATCTTGGTTGTTGGTGGGAGATAGCGGGTATTCGATCGAATAGGGCAGGTGCATGCAAGCTATCTTGGACACCACGGTTAAAAAGAAGTGGTTCTCACACGTTGTGTTTTAGGTTCACGGCAAATGTTTTGAAAAGGACCTATAAATTGCTGATTTCTGCTGTGTGAAGAGTTCAGCACTTTGATTTGAAACCTCAAGAATTACATGCTCTTTTTTCTTGTTACAAATATGAATAGTCCAATCTGCTCCTCAGCTGATTGCCTGATTCAAACTGAGCAACTGCTGATTATCACTTGATTTCCCAATGGACTAGCTTCATGTTCCAAAAAGCAATGGTTATGGTAATGGGAATCTGCTGTCACGCCCGCACGGATTTGCTTTTTCGGCTACTCTACATCGAGTCCCAAAAGCGCGTGTACCATGTGAGTTTGTGTTGTACTTCATAAAGCTCTTCACTTTCCTCTTCTATTCAGATGTGGGATTCATTGAAGGTGACATGTGTACCCCTTCTCCAGGTTTCTTGCCAACCTAGAAGCTTGTCAGTCCTGCTTGATCCGTCCTCATCAGCCCGCCCTCCGCCATTCTGCATTTGTAGCTTATTCTGCGCACGCCGCCACTCGTGCACACACACAAAACAGAAACTCCACGAATCTTACTAGTGGCTTAGCAGCTAAAGTTGGAGTCATGCATCAAAAAGTTTATCGATTCAAGAACTTTCTTAATCAGGACTCTAGCACCAGTCATAGTTCAACCACTGTGATCTTGCTCCTTTTCTCCTTTCTTTTGCTGGGTTTTGGCACCAATTGAAGTATGTGTATTCCATTACTTATCGACGTTAACAATCTTTTACAAGGGTCGTTTTGTTGGGGTAAAATTACACAGTTGAGTTGAAAACACTGCAATTGAACTCTAGCATAGTAATGCGACATAATTTATTGCTAGAATTAACCTGTTAGAGCAAAATCACAGCCACATACAAGTAGAAAACTCCACACATGCATTTTTTAGTAAAATGAATGATTGTATGGACTAGCTTCCATTATTAGTTTCCTACTTTCCTTTGACATGCCTATGTTGGTACATAAGTCACACGGATGTTCAAATTACCTAGCTTAACCAGTATAAAGATATGTTCAATAACTGGGAAGTGCAGTCAACAACCAAAAACAAAGATAAAGAACAACAGGACGACGAATCTGTATCAACACTCGTATGAACTGCACAAGTTACTCCTATCAAAGGTTATGAGAAAACAGCAGGACCGTTTAACATCCAAAGGTTAAAGGAACAACGACAGGATAATAGTTTTCACAATCGTGGAAATCAGATCACACAATAAAACCAAGATGGTGCACCACCCCGAGATATAAAGAAAGAGGAAGAAAGCAAAATCAGAAAGACCAAGCCCGCGTTGATAAGGTAGTTGACAGAGATATAGGTTAAGAATCTGGAACAGTTGCTGCTGGACGCTTCACTGAAGCACACTTGATTAAATGATTGTAGCTGCCTTTCTCCTTGAAAAGCTGTGAAAAATGAGGTTTGCAATATAAAATCCCATCTAATGCAGCATAATTCGAAGGATTTAAAGAGCACCCGCCATGAGAACACTTGAAACATGACTTGTGATAACTTTGGTTCTCCACCGTCACCTGAAAAATATGCATAACTTAGATATAAATCCAAAAATCGAAATGTTGAGCAAGTGTGGCCTATGGTTGAAAGGGAAAATATTGTCAACAATCTAAAATGATGAAAGTAAACCCAAGCTCAAAAACTGAGGGATATAAACAAGTCAAAAAGTACACTGTTCACTTCGATAACTTTCAGCTTCACAGATGGCTACACATTTAGATATCTTCAGGAAAAAAGACGTATGTTAGCCATAACAGGATCAAACACTTTGCGGCTGGATAAAATAAGCATATGGAAGTTCAGATGACTCAGCTGTTTTTGTGTAATTATTACATACCACAGGGTGTTTATTGGAAATAGCCTTTGTACCTTCTCTAGGTGTAAGGTCAGCGTACACACTACCCTCCCCAGATCCCACCTGTGGGAATATATTGGGTTTGTTGTTGTTGTTGTTGTATTACATACCACAGGGTAGACCTTACCTTAAAAATTCAAGTTCTTTACTACCTTACAACTCAAAGGTGGAAGTTTACATATGGGAGGCAACTGACAAGATGGGGTTCCGAGTTAGTATTCCGTGGGATGTCCGATGAGAAAGTAGAACATATTGTTCAGCACTAGATGATGCTTCTCTTTTCTATTTTTAAGCCGGGGGTGAGTGAGGGAGGATACAATTTGCTCAAATTCAGAAATTGCATAGCATCAGTTTCTGGCACTATCTTCAAAGAATGATCATTTTGTGAGCAAATAAGCTCGAACTTTAGGGAATTCAGTTCAAATATGCTTAAGTTAACTTTCTCTAAACCCCTTTAAGAGGATAGAAGACTATCAAACCGATGATACTTGAACTTCTTATGTTGTTTAATTTTATCTTTAATTTAAACAAAGCATACATATACATTACGACAATTCTCAACCATGCAAAATGTCCATTCGAGGCATGAGCAAGTTCAACTATCCTAAATATCTTTTAGGTCGAGCAAGTTCCACTATCCTAAATATCTTTTAGCTCTTATCCACTCCTTTAGGTTCACTATATTGTTATTCATTGTTGTGCAGAAACATAGCATGTTTCAATTGAAAGAGAAGATATTCCCAACATAGAAACCTGGCTTGTATATTTCCACACTGCAAAGCCACTTAAAAGCTAAATCTGCTTTCATGTGCCACTAGAAAATGAGTGACGTTACAAGAGCATTCCATGAATCCATGGTGCACAATATCACACCTGAAATCAATTTTGAGGCCATTGCTTGTAGAGGACAGAGATGAAACATTTTGACACACAAGGCTAACTCCAGAAAGAAAAAAGTTATTATTATTATGAGCACTCCTCCGCCCCCCTCTCCCCTCTTCCCCGGATAAGGTCCACAATGCTGACCAAAGCCAATCAAAGGATAACTACAATTTAGTCCTCAACAAAGACATCATAATAGGGTGAAATTTTTGAGAAATTGATAATTGTACCTTCTCGAGTGGGTAAGCCGTTTTACCACAGGTCGCACATTTTTCCTGTGTTCCAGAAAACATTCTGGCAGCTTTGCTAGGAGATCTTGTCTGTGTACCGAAAGCAAGAGAAGAGAGAATAAGAGGCACAACATAGCGAAAGATCTAAGAAATACACGATTTTTCTTATTTTTCAGGTTGTTAATCTTGGATACAAATAGCTACAAAGAAAGTTTACCAGCTCCGGAGTTAACTTCTCAGCTGACTTCGCAGCTGTCATGAGTAAAATGCATTTTTGTATTAGATAGAGTAAATGGACATTAATGCTGGATAATAGAATTAAGCAAGAAATAAGTAACACATACGCGATTGGAAGTTCTTGTTGAAGTTGCCAGACTCCTTGTAGAGCTGCTCAAAATGGGGCTTGCAATACAGAACACCTTCCATTGAGGAGTAACTGCTCAGCTAAGAACATATCACATAAACATATTACATCAGTTAGTATACATCAAACTCAATAATCTCGTCACTTATTACACCATTTCTTTTTCAACTTCAACTTCAAATACTCTTTTTTTCCCTCCAAATTTCAACCAAATCATGTCCAAACGCCAACTTTTTTTCCTAATGATTGAGCTAGTAGTCACATTAAAAGTTTAATCAAACACAACTCCTATTGCTCATGCTCCAACATCAGGATATTGAATGTTTACCCCTTTGACAATTTTCACAGGAAAAATTAGGAAGAAGAATTGTAATCTAGTGGTTAGGGGTTTGCTCCACATTTAACCTCAAGAGTACAAATCTTTGCTTCTGCCTCAATAGTATTCGAAAAATTCAAGCACTTGGTTTATTTCATAACATTGTTTCCCTTTTTAGTCTGTTCCAAAAAGAACGACCCCTTTATATATTTGAATATGATTTAATTGTGTACCTTCTAATTTACCCTTAATAACATGATTTTACAGTCACACAAATATCATGTCATATTTAAAATCACAAATTCCAAAAGTCTTTCTTTTATTTGTTAATATCCGTACTCAATCAAACAGATTGACATGAAATGGAATAGAGGGAGTATTAATCAACTACTACGACTCAATCCTAAACAAGTTAGGGTTGATTGTATCAATCCTCTAAATCCATTCTACTTTATACTGTGGCAAGAAATACTAAGTAATAATAGTAAAAACTTAGCAAGAATTGTACAAGGCTTTAAAAAGCAGGTACCTTGAGAGTTCCTTTGCAATGGGTGCATTTAAAGCAAGATTTGTGATAACTAATCCCATCAGCTGACAAAAGCTCAACTGGGTATACTGTCTTTTCACATGCCTTGCATTTCTGTTGTGTCCCCGTAAATGACATGACTGAATACTTCAACACAAATATATATTCTAGATCTGATCCTTGTAGCTGCAGAAACAAAAAAGAATCAGTCTTTGATAACTTAAACCAAAAAAAAAAAAAAACAGCTTAGTTACAAAGGAACTGCCAATCGGATTAGTACAAACATTTTTCGAAAAATAGGATAAATAAAGGGTCTTTGGTTATGTTAAAAAATTGTCTTTGGTCAAAGGTACATACATTGGAAGATACAGAAATGTTGCAGTTCTTGATCTACAGTCCTTGACCAAAGATTTGCTGTGGATTAAAGTTCAAGTTTTGTGACGCGGCGGGGTAAATGGAAGATGAAGACTTTAATGGGGAGAGAAGAATGTTTTTTCAGGGTCAGAGAGAAGAGAGTTGGACAGAAATATCTTCGACGGAAAAAACTAATTGGCTCCTTGTTTTGACTTTTTTAACAGCTTGTTTGGATGATTGTTATATGAGGCCTCTCGCCCTTCGAGGGGTAAGCGTAAAGTTGCTATATCTTACCCTCTTCAGATTCCATTTGTGCAAAACTACTGGGTTTGTTGTTGTTGTTGTTGTGTTGTTATGTATGGTTTCGTAATTGTATCGTTTTAATATAATACAATCCTGGATGAATTCTATTGTTTGCCATCGTTTTACGATATCTTGTACCAACAATATGAAGATATACTTACAATACTACAAAGAAAAAGTAAAGTACAATAGTAAGGTAACTACGCGACCACGTCAAATCGGTCGTTCCATAAAGTAACACTTTACATTAATACGTAACAACGAATTTAACCATACGATACAATAAATTAAGTAACAATCAAAGTAAATATTATGTTTAAAATAAGAATACGATACGATATAATAACTAACAACCATCCAAACAAGCTATAAGTGGTTTCTGTACTGTATTGGACATAATGTAGACTCGTAATAGACCAGACAAATAAATTCTGTCCGAGAATCCCATTCTACATTATTACTACACCTCCTAACTGTTTGACCAAAAAGTGTTAAGCCTTTTGATTAAATCAATTAATGATGAGAAGAGGGGTGAATCTTAGTTAAGAATAATAAAATCTAGACCAAATGTTAGATGAAGTAGGCAAGATGAACGGCGTTAGCTAATCTGTTTGAGTTGATTAAATGCTCATAAATGCAACCACATAAATATACAATAAATATAAATAAATGCGACTAGCATAACAACAAGGAATTTACTACCCAATTATTGTAAGATTCGGATGGCTCTTTCCCTTGACAACAACGTCGAAAGAAGGGAATAGATGAAGGTTCGGGGATCTTTGGATCTTGTGAGCATAGAACCGAAAATGTATGTTTGAATAATGTAATCAATGAGCAAGACAACTTTAGTATATTTTTTCAGGTCAACTTTTTACAGAGTGTTTTTCTTCTCATAAAATCCAGAGCCTCTTTTGTTCTCTATCTCTTCCTATTTATAAGGGATATTTCCCAAAAACCTTAAAAAAGTACAAAATAAGGAATATTCAAGTGAATATTCCTTATATCCATATCTGAACGTATGCTACCGTTATTCCTTCAACTCAGCAGCCCGTCTTTGTCATCAATCTTCTCGAGAGCAGCCTTCAATTATCACATCGTGGTCGACCTTGTTCGCGGTCTGGCTTATCCACTGTTGCCAAGTCGCCAAATTTTGACCAATACAGTTAGTCCCTCCGCTTGTTGAGGTCGTGGTCCTGTACGCCCTCAATAAGCGGACCTGATTTGCCTCCATTTCGGAGGAATTTGGTTGTGTTGAATAAGTCGGGTCGACCGAGGTGGAGAGAATTGCACACCTAGTGAAGTCGTGATTAGTGTGGCTACCTTGGGGTGACATCATAGCCACGCGCGTCATCATTGCGCATCTTTCCGAGACAGCGTCTGCGTGCCTGCCGCTTTGGTTTTAGTGTCGTTGACAATCCTTTGCTTCGATTCTCGCACCTCCCAGCCCTTATAAATAGATGGGGGTTTCATTTTTCAGAAGTTTTCCCATCCTGTTCCTTGCATGAACTCCATTCTTCTTTGATCTTCTCTGCTAGTTTCTGCCTCTAGTTTTGCTTTTCTGATTCCATTTCTCTCTTCCTAACCTAGTTGTTATCTTCTTCTTTGGGTTTGGTAGTATATATTTCATTATCGAAAACATGTCACAAACTCTTCGAATTCATGATGAAGTTTCCGATGCTACTCCGTTATCGGTGGCTCCTCTTTCCGGTGGTGAGGCATTTATGGCTGAAGAGGATGAGAGTTTTCCTACTGCGGAGGAGATAGTTCCCAGAAATCCGTTGTCCAGAAATGATTTTCCAAAGGGGCCTGCTCCCGCTCCCGCTCAGGTGACCTCTGAGACTGGTCCGTCTCATATAGCTAAGCTTCGATCCACATATCGCATCCCCCCTCACGTCGAGATAGTTCCGGATGGTGGCGATATCGTAGAGGTCCATCGACCTGGGTATTGTGACTTCTATGTCTACCCGTTCTTGATCGGTTATACTCTTCCTCTTCTTCCGCTAGCGGAGGAATTTTGCCGGTTTTACAACGTCTGCCCGGCACAACTCTCTCCTTATCTGTACAAAGCTTTTCTGATGCTGACGAAGTTCACAGAATTGGCTGAGTGTGAGGTTGATGTTTGTCACTTTCTGCACTTATTCTCGCCAAATTTTTATAGGGGTACTATGATACACCTACGGATCGCTGGACCAGAGGGCTGATAGTCGGAATGGACGACAAGACGAATCGGAAGTTCTGGCACAAGTACTTTTTTATCAAGACCGAGCACTTGGTGGCTGACCCGACTGGTTCCCGGAGCAGTGGAACCATAATCGTAAGTGTTTGTCATACGCTCGTTATTGTTTTTCTTTTTTTGTCCTTTCGTTTTTGGCTCATTTGCGGTCTCTGTTTTTCAGCTGAAAGCCGTGCACCTTCCCATGTCCTCGACATTGAAGATTGGGTGGCTCGCGTGCTGCCCCACATGGTGGGGATTCGTGATTGGGCGGTCTTCTACAAGCGCTTTGGGCCGAAGGTCCCGTCTAGTAAGTTACTTTTTCTTCAGCTTCCTGCTATTCGCCATTACTCGTTGATACGACCTCTTTTTGGTGCCAGATCGACGAGTTTAAAGAAGAAAGCTCTAGTGCCGGCCTTTCGCCAGGCTATTACATCGGCAGGGATGCAATTTACTTTAGCTGAGTCCGTTGATCGCGGCCGTCTCAACACTACACAATGGCAGGAAGAGTGGGTAGCAATAACTAATACCCTAATAGTGGATCGGGGTCGAATTTCCACAGGGAGCTTGGAATGGAGTTGTATTGCCTGTTTAGTTTAGAATTGCGTTTGTCCTTCTAATTGCACTCCTAACATTGTTGGGGGTTTTTATATTTAAAACTACTATTGTAATCTAAGGATTAAAGCGAAATTATGCTAAGGAAATATTGCTAGTTGTGCTTAATATAGGAAAAAGGCACTAGGGTTGTGACACTACCTAGGTGGCTAGCTAACGGGTAGAAGCTACTAAGGGGAGATTGATAATTCTGGGTTTAGTGCTATAGCCGTTACACAATTGCACTCATTCTCACACCTCTCGGTAGAGAGAACGATTTTGCCCAATTGACTCTCTCGAGACCAATTAGGTAGGCCAATTAGACCGGGCAACTAAGGCTCAAGTAGGGTAGTTACTCTTTCGAGGTTTAACCCGTTAATTGGGACTACCATTCTCATGGGTCCATCCCAATTCCTTGTTGGGTTAACTTTAGGGTCATATGACTCTCTCTCTCAAGAAGAGTTAGACCCACTAAGCTTGAATTTATGTTTGTAACCACAAATTCTAGATTGAAACCCAAAATCAACCCAAATAACAAATACCCAATCTCAATCTCACCCTAGAATGCAACATCCATTAACTACCCACACTAGGGTTGAGCCACAACCCTAGCTAATGGGTTTAGCTAGACATAATTAAAGAAGAAACAGTAGAAATAGATGATGAAATGAAGATAATAATTGATTACTACTTAAAATCTATGATATTCAAGAGTAAAAATGCCAAAACAGGCTACAAAATACTTCTCACGAGCGCAGCTCTTGTTCAGCAGTTAAAACATGACCTAAAAATGTTAAAAAGATCTATTTATACCGAGCTAGAAAATCTGGACAAAAATGCCCCTGCGGGGTAGGCGCGGACCGCGCAAAAAGGGAGTGCGACCGCGTTGGC